GAGCCAGAAGGATCGCCGGAGCCCAGCAGGTCAAGGATGCGGTGGCCGGGAGCGGCCACTGCACTCCAGTCTGGGTGACAGAGTGCGACTCCAACTCAGAAAAAAAAGCCTAAGTCACCCAACTGCAGTGCCGCAGGGGGAAGAGGCCTAAGTGTTACTGCTATGGCGGCTGACAGCCAGAGCTCCTGCCACTGTCCCGTTTCTCATGGTCTCCCCCAGACTCAAGACCTTTCTCTCTGCGCCAGGATGCCTCAGGGCCACCAGAGGGCACTCCCCACACCTTCATTCCCTGGGAATGAGCTTGGTCCTGGGGCCAAAGCCCACTCACTCTGCCTAGGAAGCTCCTCAATGCATTATGGCCTCGTTCTCTCCAGAGACTGTCGCCAGTCTAGGGAATAGAGTCAATGTTGCCAGACTGGAGAACCCATGCGACTCTCGCCTCTGCCCACCTCCCTTCAGACTCTCCATCTCCATCAGCGCCCTTTTGGAGAAAGGAGAAAGAAGCGCGTGGGGGGGGGGGCAGTCCCTTCTCAGGCTGGACCAGACTCCAGGGAAGGAGACTGTTTAGAAGTTGCTGAATCTAGGCTGGGTGCAGCGGCTCAAGCCCGTAATCCCAGCAGTTTGGGAGGCAGAGGCAAGAGGATTGCCTGAGCCCAGGGGTTCAAGACCAGCCTGGGCAATTTGGTGAAAGCTTGTCTCTACAGTAAATCAAAAAATTAGGCTGGCGTGGTGGCATGCACCTGTAGTTCCTTCCAGCTACTTGGGAGGCTGAGGTAGAAGGATCACCTGAGCCCAACAGGTCGAGGCTGCGGTGGCTGTGAGTGTGCCACTGCACTCCAGCCTGGGCGGCAGAATGAGACTCCAGCTCAAAATAGATAAATAAATAAATACGTTGCTGAATCTGTTAGGGTCCAGAGTTCACAGAGCAGTGATGGAGAGAGGAAAATAAGCAGGCCTCTGCCCACGCAACAGAGACAGACAGAACCACATCACAGACCCACATGCAGAGACCTGCTTTCCCGCCCTGCCGGAGAGGAAAGCAATCTGATCAAATCCACTATGCACCCAACTCTCTGTACCTGGCGGACGGCAAAACTACGGAAGTACAAGAGGAGAGAAAACTACTCAGCCCTGGGATGCCTTGTTTTCTTTTCTTGTAAATAAGCATTTGAATGTGTTTTGTTCTAGAAGCTTGGAGGCAAGCACAAAGGCAGCCCTTTCTCATGCAGGAAGTTCCCTCTGCAGCCTCCCCCCTCCCCCATCCTGTCATCCGCCCACGGGCTGCCGTGGCTTTCCTTCCTGGGCCCAAGTGGGGGTCTCTCTTGTTTTAGAGAGCCCTGAGAACCACCTTGCCATTTTCCAAGTTAAACTGCAGGCTGAGATGAAAGTAGCCTTTCTTTACCCCCGCCCCACTGCCTACCCCAGCCTTTCTTTTCTTAAACAGAGTTGCTTTGCTGAGCAAAGAGTGAAGGAAGGGGAGATGGTTCCCAGCAAGCAGGAGGCAGGTGCATGGACGGGGTGGGTCGTTCTTGCCTCTCATTGGTGGATAAGCAAGACCCCAACCCACCTGTTAGCTTCCCAGGATGAAAAGTCTGCCCCTGTCTTAAGTACTGTTCAAGTCTGAAACCAAATAGGAAAAATCCAGGAACCCCACTCCTCGATGAAGAGTCCCAGGTTGGTCATTGTTCGAGAGACCGTCCCCTGCAACTCCCAGTCATTCACAGGTCTCGGCCCTGTCCAGTGTCCACGTGGAGGCCAGGAGAGCAGTAGGGAGGGGCCTGTCCAGTGTGGCTGCAGCTGTCCCCAGGAGGGAGCCCTGGTCCTCCAAAAGTTCCTTCCCCTTTGGCTATTCAAGCCTGGAGGGATGACAGCTCCCTCTCTCTAGTGTGGAAACAGGTAAATGACGCGTAATTTATGGGCACACCAGCCTGAAGTGCATAAGTCATAAGT